TCAACCTTTGGAGATTCTCGAGTGGAAATGGGACAGTATTGCTATAGACCTTGTAGTAGGACTTCCTCGTTCGAAAGATGGTTATGATGTTATTTGGATAATTATTGACCGATTGACGAAATCAGCTCATTTCCTGTGTGTTCGAACCACGTATAATACGGAGAAACTGGCAAGGATTTATCTGCGAGAGATCGTGAAGCTGCATGGAGTTCCTACCAGTATAGTCAGTGATCGTGATCCTAAGTTCACCTCTAAATTCTGGGAGTCCTTTCAGCGAGCTCTCGGTACGCAATTGAGGTTGAGCACTGCTTACCATCCGCAAACCGATGGGCAATCTGAATGAACTATCCAGGTTTTATAGGATATGTTACGAGCGTGTGTCTTAGAGCATGGAGGAAGTTGGGATCAGTATATCCCATTGATCGAATTCGCGTATAATAACAGTTATCACTCCAGTATTCAGATGGCTCCTTATGAAGCTTTGTACGGAAGAAAGTGCAGATCCCCTCTGTGTTGGACTGAAGTTGGAGAGCGAAGTATTTTGGGGCCTGACGTAATTCGGGAAACCTCTGAGCAAGTAAAGAAGATAAGAGAGAATATGCAGCGAGCGCAAGCCAGGCAGAAAAATTACTATGACAAGCGCCATAAACCCTTATCCTTCGAAGTGGGAGATCATGTATTTTTGCGAATCACGCCCACATCGGGTCTCGGCAGGAGAATGGGAGTCAAGAAATTAAGTCCGCGATATTTGGGGCCGTATCTGATTTTGGACCGGATTGGCGAATCAGCGTATCGTTTGGCATTGCCGCCTAATCTGTCAGGAATTCATGATGTATTTCATGTATCGCAACTGAGGAGATACCTCTCTGATCCGTCTCACATTTTGCAACCAGAGGAAGTCGATTTAAGAGAAAATCTGACGTACCATGTTCAGCCATTTCAAATTATGGAAAGATCTGTTAAGCAACTTCGTTCTAAGGAGGTTCCGTTGGTGAAGGTGTTGTGGAACAACAAATCCGCAGCCGAAGCTACATGGGAACGTGAAGATGAAATACGGAAACGCTATCCTGAATTATTTAATGAGTAGGTAAGTTCGAATTTTGCGGACAAAATTCCATTTTGGTGGGGAGAGTGTAACATCCCACGGAAATAGGAAATATATTATGTTGCTATGAGAATTTTGGGTATTATGTTCTTGTATGTGCTTTGTGCTTTGATTCGAGTATATAATTATTAGGAGAAAATTAATTTGAGTTAGGAAGTTTCTTGAAATAAATTAATTAGTCACATAAATTATGTTAGGCATGAGAAAGCTAATTTAGAATTACAGCCATAAGTTATTAAAAATAAAGTAAGAGGCAATAAATTAATTAAATGAATTTAATTAGTGATGGGCTGAATTATAATATAAGAGGAATTAGCATGTTGGGCCTTGTTTGGGTGAGAAGGTCGCTGGCCCATAGGATGATGAGTATTAGTCAGCTTAATTTAAAAACATTGGGGCTTATTGCTGATGGGCTAATCTCAATTGATTCCATAAGTTAGTATGTTGGGCCACAACAATTGTTTTGACCTGCGGCCCAAGAGTCTTGGAGCAGCAACTCAACCCTAATCCAACTCCTTTTCTGTTGTACGCCCTCAGAAGAAAAGTTCTGACTTGATCCTCTTTCTGCAACGCTTCTGACCAGCCTCACCTCTTCCCCTGTGCATGCGCCTAGAGGGCAGAAAAAGCTGACCTTGCTTGTTATCCTATGCAAAGAGCATTCAACTTTATAGAGACTTCTCCATCAGCCTCCTCTTGTGCGCTCCAAGAGTGAGAAACAGATGCCACAGTTCTGATTTCTTGGTTCACTTTTAAATCAGCCTCAACTTTTCCCCTCTTTCTCTCTTGTACGCTGTATACAAGAGAATCAACATCAGTTTCCCTTCTTGTTGTGCGTTATCTGTTGAGAAGAAGAAACAGAGACCAGTGTCATCAACCTCACCAAGCCATCCTGAACCGTGACCTTTCTTCCCTCTCATCACCCAACCAAACTTGTAAAATTATTTCCTGATTCTGTTTTTATTTTCCCAAAGCCGCAACATCATTGGGGTTCAAACGGAAGAACGATTTTCACTCTTCCTTGGGTTTCTGTTGCAGAAACCGTAAAACCTCTTTTGAAGCAGAAACAAAGATTCAACGTATATCTCTTCCCTCTGTTCAGTCGTACCTTCCTCCTCAAGAAGCTGAGGCGTTGGTGGCTGCCTAGTGGTCAAACGTGTGAGCGACTTGGGGTAGCAACAAGTAGAAATCTGAATCCATCTCTTTCTTCCTTTCTGTTCGGTATCGAAGGTAAATCAAAGGCTGAACCTTTTAACTTTTGTTCTGTTGTGATCTGCTCCTGCTGTAAAAATTGAACCCCTGATGATTTTAAAAAAAAAATGTATCTTATGTTAAGATTTAAAAATACTGTTACCGGTGGTGAATAAAGTGCGTCTGGATTAAATCGATTAAATTTAAACAGTACGGTTATGTCTTCTCCGAATCTGCCGGATGAGAACTCTTAGGATTCCCTCTGTTTTTGTTGTTAAAAAAATCCCTTTTGGAAGTCACACAACCTTTAGGGTAGGACCCTTCTTGACCGCGGGTTGTAAAGGATATTTTTAGGCTTAGGAAGTTTTGGTTTAATGTTTAGGAAAGCTTGAATACTATGCTGATTTTTCTGTTTGAAATTAGGTGTCGTTAATTCGTGAGTTGGACATTTTCGCTGCTGTTTGGAGTTGGTATTGTGACGTTTAAGGTAATTGTGTGGAGGCTCTCCTATTTATACTTGCTAGAAGGAACACGAGACGTGATCGTGGCTCCATGATTTGATATACTTACGCGTATTGATATTGATCGTCTTGAAATCTTGTTAATCTTGCTACATATATATGCTGCAAAGTCTAGTTATGATATAAATTATATGATCTAGACATTCATGTGCATCATGACATTTTATTTAGTATGCGGTATGCGTCACAAAGCATAGCATTCGCGCATCAATTTCATATTGCTGCTGAAAAATTATTTTTGAAAACTATGCATATGGATGAGCATGCACCATTTAGGCATAACCTACGGTACCAAGGTCTTGGGACAGTTGGCTTCAGTCCACTTAGGCCACGGTCGGATCCCTTCTTGAGAAGCCATCAAGGGTAATCCACTGTGCTTGATAGTACGGCACTTTAGTGCTATAACGTACTCTTGGCGTTCTTACGCATCTTGTTTAGCATATGGCAACATGTATATATATATGTGATAAATCTTGTTATGTTAATTATTTTGGTTTCTAGCTTATGCTTCTTGCATTTTGGCATTGTCTCTCACTACTGGGAAATATTTCTCACCCCTTTGGGGCTGCTGTTTTCTGATGTAAAATGGTAGGGGGACGCAAAAGTATTTGAGGTATTGCTATGAGATGTTTGTGCCATTTGGTTGCTGGATTCATTGCTATTTTGTTGAGTGGTTGGCTGTGTTGCAAGAAGGATAACTTGAAGTTTTATTGTTATGTCATTTTGAATTTTTAAGAGTTGTTTACTTCTGTTTGGAACATTTCTGAACTAGTTATTGATCTTGAACTTTTGGTTTAATTGCTGATTTGGATTAATGACTATAATTTTGGAAGTATCGAATTTTTCTGAAAACTGTTACCTTGCGAGCAACTTCTAAGTTGTCGTTCCGTGGCTACGAACCTCCGGATGCGGCATAATTTATATGCACGCGAAGACCCTGAAATTTTCTCTAAGAATCTGCAGAAATCAAATTTTTATGGCAACTGTACGAATTTTGAAAAATAACGCACTACAGCAGGTTTTGAGAAAAATTGCAGAATTCGCGAGCAACTTGCGAGTTCGAGTTCAAGGGGCTATTCATCTCAGAATCGCGCATATGTTATATGGACGCGAAGCCCCGAGTATCTAGTTTCACCGTAGAAAAGAATTATTTCTATCCGGCATCAGATTGATTTTATATTAATTTTAGAGAACAGTACGTTTTTCTGGTAAAAAGAGAAATTTCAGCAAGTGCTCCTCTTTGAAACTTCCGTTGTTTTCATGAATAAAAAAATTTTAAATACAAGGTTTTTGATCTTGATTAATCCATAAAAGATTCATGCTGTTTAGTGTTATTCACGCGTTATAAACGAAATTTTTCCGCTGCGACTCTAATACAAGTTAGCTTTAGCACGTCTCTTGGATGCATACAAGAGGGGTGCTACAGTTAAGATAGACAAGAGTTTAGGGATGAAACTAAGTCCCTCCTAAGGGCTCATGGGCCGTCGACCAACACAAGGATTGGGTCAAAAATATACAAGTCCAAAGGTTCTTCTATCTAAGAATTACCCATGCCTTATTATTTTATGTACTCTCTAATTATTTACTAAAGAGTTTATTCCTTGAATTAAAATTAATCACATACTTATAACTAATATTCAAATTCCTAAGATATTCCTACTTATTCCTAATAGCATGCATGCAAAAAAATTACATTTCCTGACTCGAATTTATTCTACCCTAACGCATATATTTTTCGAGTTCAAAACATGCATCAACATTACTAATGGCAGTTTATATATACGTTCCTAATTTTTTCGGGATGTTACATCCCATATCCGGATATCACAAGACCCCATATCCGGATATCACAAGACCCCATATCCGGATATCAATATCCGGATATCATATCTGGATATTTCGCGACAGAATGCAGTTTCTGTATTTCGCGAGATTTCACTCCAAAGGTTGCGTTTTTAACTCATTCCAACGTCCAAGCATGCATTTTTACAGACTTACAGATTCATGTTTATGTTGGTTACTTCATTTTAACATATTACATGCCAAGACTCAAGCTTTAACCCATTAAAACTCATGATCAAGGTTGGTGCAGCTTACCCAAGCTCAAGACAGAGAAAGAAGTGCTCTTAGAGCTCACTAAACAGCTCCTCAAGCTTCTGATTCCAATGTGCACGAAAATGGCACACCAAGGAGGGTTTTTCTTCACAAAGGTGGCTTCTTGAAGCTCAAACCACCACAAGAATGGCTCTCACACCACAAACCAAAAAGGTCAGCCCCAACACCCACTTACACAGACCCACCAACTCAGAAATAGAGTGTTTCCTCACTCACCATGCAAGCTCTCTCACACACAAGGTATTTGGTGAAGAAACAAAGACCAAAGGTGCTCACTTTGCCTCACAAGAAGGGGAGGAAGAAGGTGGCAAGGTGGCTGATGAAGAGCACTCAGAAAACTTCATGTAGGCAGCCTTAATATGGCCTAGGGTTAAGAGCCCAAAGCTATTTATAGCCCACTTAAGTTAAGACACAGTATTAACAATAATAGCTACACTTAGCATTTTATTCCCAAACTTAGGATTCTGAACCTACTCATTTTTCTAAGATTTGTCATATTTTTATTTTATTTTTCGCAGCACCTTTCCGGTACGCGTTTTTACATAGCCAGTGTCAGTTCTGGCATCATATCTCATTATTTTGACTTGAAAATTGAGATCACAGTCCTACATATTATTCTAGGAATATTCATGCACTTATTATAATTTTCCGGGATACTTCATCGGTACGCATTTATACCGAATAGCAGAACCGGTATCTGCACTTTTCGTCAGAAAAGTGACTTTCAGCATTATTAATCACTTACCATAATTATTTAAGCCTCCTCATAATAATTAGGGTCAATTATGGAATTATTTCCTAATTTCTCATAGTTAATTAATTAACTTCCTTAATTAACGGTGCAGATTTTTACATTCACCCCACTTTTTAAGGATTTTGTCCTCAAAATCAAAATATACCTGTCTCGGAAGTCGGGGTACTGTCGGAGAAGCTCGTCCTCTCGCTCCCAAGTACACTCCTCAAGAGTTCTTCCTGTCCACTGCACTTTGACCATCGGAATGATCTTGCTCATCAGCTACTTCTCGCCACGATCGAGAATCTTGAGTGGTCTGACGAGAGTTTTCAAGTTCTCCCGGACTTCCACATCATCCGGTTGCACCACGTGCGAGGGATCCGCTACGTACTTCCGCAAATGAGACACGTGAAACACGTCGTGGA